TCATCTCGGCACTTCCTTCTCAACTGCCCGGCATTCGCTAGATATCAGCTGCCTGATATCTATCTTTGCTCTTAGCGCCTCTCTAGTTCAACACAGATAACCTGTAGTCACCGTTCAGAGAATTTGTGTAATGTGGTAACACAATGGACAATTTCATTAATGTTTTAGTGAGTCCCCACGTGGGGTCTGCCATAATAATTGAACCTAATCTTGGGTAAGAAATAAGGTGATTAAAATGTCACACCCCAACTTTGTATCTATCAACACAGGGTTAACCAAACTTTCAAAAGAATTTTTTTTCTTTCAAAAATATTGGTATTAAAATGTCGCTCCGAAAATAATTTATTACGACTTTAAGAAACATATACGTACAGACATACATAGCCCCGCAAAAAATTTTGCGACCAAGCCCTAAAAAGAGTATTCCGAGATTACTCTCAATCGGGTACAATTGGGCCCTAATTAGTCGCAATTAGTCTCTAACGGGTATTATTGGGTATCAATTAGTCCGCGATTCATCTCTAACGGGTACTATCAGCGGTTTAATGATATGTAGGCACTTGGTCAATGAAGTTTAATGTGCGGCGTTGGCACCTATAGAGAGTATTCGCTTAAAAAAGCTGAGAACTCCGGTCCGAATCGCAGCTGGCGGAAATTTCTTTTTTATGTAAATTATCGCTTTTTATACCCGTTCGAGTAAAAAGGGGAACAATTACGTAGATCAAAAGTGGCATTAGTCGCAGGTTCCTTTGCTATTGCTCACGGAGTCATCCCGGATAAGTCGCATGTATGTATATGTATGTATACACGTACATATGTATCCGCTGCCTATATGTATAAAAAACACAAATTTGTAATTCAATTCTTGCACATTTTTTGGTCTGCTAATATTTCCGTAAATTTTAACCTGCCTGCATTGTTCTCGTTCTTCCGCTTATTTCTTTAGTGCCTCAACATACTATTCTTTTTTCTTAGTTTTGTTGCTATGCTCACTTCGCCAAAGCTTGGTTGTGGGCGTTGTTTACATTTCAGTCTCGTTTTTCGTCTGCGCCAATTTTTTTCCGACTCATTTTCATTTTCAATGTTGCGCTGCAAGCGATTTGCTTATGTTGCCCATCTTGTTTCTATTGTTGTTGCTGTTGATTTTGTAGACTACCAGCCACAGCTGCAACAATTGCTAACTAGCACTCGTGTTTTGTTTTTTTTTTTTGCGTTGTCTTCCACTTCAGTTTCATTGTTTTATGCAAATTTTGTGTATTTTTTCCCAGCTGATTACCACTTGACGGCCATGTCTGGGCACTCACTCACTCATACCTTTTTGTGTATGCATGTATGTGTATTTGTATACATTTTTAATTGCGGCAGCTGCAGGCGCACAGCACAATTCGTGTTTTTCTACGTGTAATTATTTTTTCTTTTTCGTTAATTTGTACACATTCAACCGGAAAAATGTTGCAATTTTAATAAATTGAATTGAAATTTTTTTCACATTTGATATTTGCTCTTGCGCGCTAATATTTACAGATGGCTGTTTTTTCGAAAGGCGGAACATACGAGTCGAACGCAAAACGTAATTTCTGTATTTGTGTAGGTGCATGTGTATGTGTATTTGGTATTGCAATGTGCCTCTTTGTTTTAAATTTGAATAGATAGCTTTGCGCTGTGTCAGGCTGCTGATCGGTAGCGATATGCAAAAAAAACATTATACATACATACATATGTACATAGATGAATTGACGGAGACCTTATTCCAAATTTTGGCTTACTTTCCTCCCCTTCCTTCACATTGGAAACCAACAGCTATCGTTAAGGCAATACTGATATTTGGGTATTGATATGGCGGACAGCAACAAGAAAGAAGGCATATTTTAAAGAACTGGAGAGTGTTTACCGGCTCTCAGTGTTCAATACTCTCAGTGATCAATATAACGGGACACAGATAGCGGCGCTCAACGCAACTTTGCACATGCCCCCGGCGAACCTGGTAGCCAGGAACATAGCGTTTACAACTGCTTGGCTTCAGAGCGTTCGGCCACAGTAGTATACATACGCCATTTTTAACCGGGCTACGTGATTCCGCGTCTGAGTTTCGAAAAGTCCCTAGCAGCAATAATAGTGGTTGATAGTTGGCGTAAGCGTGTGAAGTTGAAGGGGAACATAACGCACATCTATACAGATGGTTCTAAAATGGAGAAAAAGATATGCGGGAAAAATCATTACCGTCTCAGGCTATAAGGAGGCTATCAGAAGGCTAGCTGCTGCTAAAAACATCCATCTATATTCGGTCCCAGATTACAAGGCAATAAGAGAGATGACGAGATAGCCAAGAATTAATTAATTAATTAATCACTAGTCACGGATACATTTACTAATTCCATCACGGAAAAACAAATGATTGCAAGATTTGCTCATGTACCACCCGGTGTATAGGCTTTGAATATGAACTCAGGGCTGCGGACTTGCAAAGATTATGTGTAGTTCACTTGATAGGAAACTCAATTATTCCTTACTATCAACAAGAAGAAAAGAGACGTAGGATTGTAAACAGGGCATTGCTTGCTAGCAGTGCATGCGTTTAAGTTACAAAGAGCGCTTCCTCCTTTCAGATGTGAGCTGGGTTCAATCTGATAAACAAGTTTTTGATGTGAAATTTCTTTAGCGGCGGTTGGGAATAAATCGATAATTTTAACGATTTTGTTATCGATTTTGTAATCAATATTTTAAACGATTTTGCTATTGATATTTTGTATCGATATTGTTATTGGTTTTGTTATTGGTTTTGTTATCGATTTTGTTATTGATTTTGTAATCGATTATGTATAGTTTTTGTTATCGATTTTGTTATTGATTGTTTATCGATTTTGTTTTCGCTATTTGTTATCGATATTATAATCGATTTGGTTATCGATATTTTTATCGATTTTCTAATAGATTTTGCTACCACTATTAATATCGACTTTGCTATCGAAATTTTTATCGAATTTTTTATCTATTTTTTTTATCGATATTTTTATCGGTTTTGTTATCGATATTTTGTTGGATGTTACTATCAATTTCCTTATCGAGTGAGTATAAAGATAATAATAAAGAATTAAGATAAAGGCAAACAGAAGAACATACATGTAATCAGAATTAACAGGGGTAGAGCTAGGGATCTAGATAGAAAGAGACAAAAATTATAACCTTAAGTAAAAGCAGATGAATGTATATGTATATGTAGATATGTATGTACATATGTGTATTGGTCATGAGACAAAATATATATGTAACGTAAGTTTCACTTCTCCAGTGTGGCCCAGGCTCACTTACTTTTCTTTTTAGCTTTTATGTTATATGTACCTTATTATTTGCTCATTAAAAAGAGTCATAAATAATTAAAATTCTGGGATTTTCAAACTGGTCAGAACACATTTTATTGCAAACCCGAGATTTGAATTGCTGTTAAATCATTAAATTAAAATCATCTCAACCAATGGAATTCCAAATCCCTCTTCACTGCATTTTAAAACGATTTTCTCTCCCTTTATATCGCCGACCGTCCTATTAAAACAGTGTGAAGAAAAGAACAAAAACAAATCCTTTTGCCCTCCATAAGCATCCAAGATTTGTTCAGAACATCAAACTTTTAGACAAAGTTCTTCATGCGACAACAACAATTGTTGGAGAGTGTCAGCATATGTTGCACTTCGCATGTTGCAAGTTAGAAAAAGTCACTGTTATCCTCATTGTCGCCGCATAATGTTTGGCCCATTTTCCATTTTCCATTTTCGCGTGAGCGCCGGCGCTTCAGGTTGTGCAGGCCATCTACGGCCATCTACACTAGTTTCCGCAATTTGCTCTCGGAGTGTGTGTGTGTGTGTATTTGTGTGCGCTTGTAACTGTGCGCATTCACTTTTCTCACTCATACTTTTGACTTGGATACGTGCTGCTGGTGGCACGCTAGTCACCGCCGCGTGGCACATTTCTTCCTTATGTCATTTGTGAGAGCGTCTTCGGCACATCTGCTGCCACTGCTGTTACCGTCATCACACACAACTAAATGGATTCAATCTATTTCTCCCCTTCAAAATTTCTTGCCTTTTTGCAGCAATGCCTTCCCGCTTCGTTCTCCTTGCCCTTCCCATCTTCGCCTTCTTCTTCTTACTTGCAACTTGCACAATTCTAAGCCGTTGCGCTGATTTTCCAATGCATCTTTTGCCCCACTTACGTCAGCTTCATTGTCGGCCACATCAGCCGGTGCAGCAACGTCTTCAACGACATTATGCATGTTACTACATGTTTGCATGTATTTTTTGTAAATGCATTTGGTTCTGTGTATTTGTGTGCGCACCAACTTTTTCCAAGCGCGTGTTAAACGTATGACACTGATTGTCGTTGTTGCGTCACGTGTCTGCAGCACATGCAACATTATTTCTGTTTTTTTTTTTACTTTTTTTCTGGCGGTGTCGTCGCTCCATTGTCGACAACTTCACTTCTGTTGCACGGAAATTCTCACTGCAGTTGAATGGCGCTTGATGGCCGAGGCTGGCGGCGATTGAATGAAATGGAGCGTATACTGCGCGCTCAAGTGCTGCAAGATGCGCGCGGGTAGCTAGCTAGCTTTGTTTGTGTGCAGCGAACGTTAAGTTGCCATTGTTACTGCGTTCGCGCTCGTTTCGCGTTGTTGCTGCTCGGTTACTGTTTCATTTTCGATTTCATTCGAACGGAAGTGAATGTCACTTTTAATTATTTCCTCTTCTCGCGTCTCACTGCTGCTGGTTCGGGGCCTTGCCGTTCCTGCTAGTTCCAGTTGGATTTTCGATTGCTTAATATGGATGTACGTGCGCGCGTGATTACATGAACTTGCAAGTTCGCTTATTTCTGTATGTATGTACATATATGGGTGGGCGGGAAGCTTGCCGTGCTGTTTGCATGCCTTAGCCAGTTAACAAATTAATTGATTGTGCAAAGTGTGTGTTGTGGTGGCAGCAAATTAATTTTGAAATTTCTATTCTTATTTGCAGATTTCTACAAAGTCAAGCTGTGGTGCCGAGACAACGTCGTTTAGTTATTTAAGGTAAGTGGATGAATGAGTTCGTTACTTAATCATTATTTAGATAAAGAAAACAACTTAACTGTATATTACGGGATTTTATTGAATGCTAGAGAAAACAAAAAGCAAAGGCCATTGGGATGAAAGCGGAGTTCAATAGGACCACAAACTTCGAAAGACCTAAAAGCACCAATGGCAGTCTCACTGCGCGCTAATGGTATTACTGACTGGACTTTAGGGATAAATGGTTAACATTTCGATCCATTTCGCTTCTTCACTACAACCTGCCTTGGCTGTACCACCTATTAAATGGACTTCGAATTGGAAGCTATAGTTGATGGCACAAAAGTTCTGACCGCAAATAATAGATATTTTGGGAAGTAATGCTTGACAGCCTTCTTCTATTTGTCTGCGCCCAAAAACGTAAACACCAATATGGTGAAGGCCAGCGAATAAATTCTCTTCTAGTCTCTTTCCGTGAGAAATGGGAACAAAGCATAGAAATCTTCCCCCTCAATATGCTACCGACTAGCTTGCTATCAACTATGCGGAGACAAAATAGGCACCAGACAATAGGAGGACGCCGTGTAAGAGACTTAAGTCCAGTACGCAGTTCTCAAGAAAACTATCAAGAAAAAATTGCCATTATTTCGTGTGTGTGTCCAAGTAATTTCGAAATCTCATACTTCACTGCTTGTTGCCTCTTGTTTGAAGCTCTTGCCCGCTCTTGTTTGAAGCTCAGTCCCGTTCTCGGAGAGTAGAAAGGCCTCTCCGTAAGAACATACTTCTACGAGATTCGACCTTGCATAAAACAAGCTCTGGAACCGAACGCCTTTGTGAGCTCTCGTCCCATAAATGCAGTTGTGTGATGTCAGTCACATAGGCAAGCAGCTTTGCCTAGTTAAAACCGAATGACACCGATACAATTTCTTCAGGTTGTTATAAAAATCTAGAGTCCTTTTCTTTATCTTTGATTCTAAAAAGCTTTGTTCTTTTTGGGCTAGACCCAAAAACTTCTCCAATTGCCTCTGCCCTTATTTTTTCACCACCCGACGCCAACCCGAGCAGTTCGCCCAAAGACGTTTGTTTCTGCAAGATTAATTTTACTGAAGTGAAAGCGAAGGGTGTAGTAAATATTCCGTGTAGGATTTATTGAGAGTGTTGAGGTCCGCTCTGCCTAAAATACTTAAATTCATTGGCACTGAATGCATTTTTGAACAATTTGTCTACCCAGTCACTTATTGTCCTCTTTACGTGTGCTTTTGTGAGCCCACAGTAGAGTTGCAGACCATGAAATACTGTGGTAGCTCCTCGTTTCGCAATGCAGTCTGCCACCTCGTTACAATGGGTGTCCTTCATGCCCCGCCAGCTCGTTTATCGCCGACTTCGGAGGCTTTTTTGTTTTTAATACGCATTATTGCTGGTATTGCCTCTTCTGGGTTGAGGGTAGTGACGTGAGCTGAACCCATTTGAAAATACGTCCACACCTTTCCAAGACATTCTCTCATTATAAGGCCACTTAGTCTAGACCCTAATTTTTTTTTGTAAAATCGTCATGCCCGCAGTAGATTTCAAATCTATGCGATAGAGTACTATACCGCGTTGCAATCTATTTTAACAGAACAAAACAAACCAATTTATTCTCCATTCGATTTTTTTTTTACTATGAAACACCAGCGTGACCCTTTCAAATCAATTTGTCTCAAATGAAATGGCTGTACTTCCTTATTTCCCTTCCACGTAGAGCAGAGCAAAGGTTTATGCAGCCGCACAACAGCGCAGACGGAGTTATTGCATTGGACTTCATTTCTGTTTACAAAATCAATTCCCCAACAATCTAAGTATCTAAGTAAATATGTACTACCTCAGAATCTATCAAAGTAAATTGCACATCGCCATGCGGCATCTTTCGTTTCTACAGCCATAGCGTCAACAACAAAAACACATCACCATTTAAGTTGACTGCAATTTCACTTTTTCTATCAACTTTCTTGAAGCTGTTCGAGGGTTGCACCTGAATGCACTCTGCAACAAAAATAACAACATTAAGAAAACAGCTGCACTGCTGCTGAGTGATTGATTTTCGTCATCGGCAACTACTGTTAGTATTGTTGCTTTTGCTGATGTTGCTGTTGTTGCTTGAACAACTGTCACTGCGACAGCGCACACCGTCGCTATCAACCGTTTACCGCATTGCACCACTGAGACACATTTGCATCGCACATTTAACCTCAAAGTTCGCTCGATTTACGACTGACTGACTCTCACTGACAATTGTACTAACTAACTGTCGAGTTGACAGCCTGGTGACGACTTGGTAAGTGATGGCTTTAGTCACACTCGTTGCGCTGGCAGCTTACGGCGATGATTTGCGAGCGATGGCATTAGCAACCTGCAGCCTGCAATGTGCCACGGGGCTAATGCTTTGACACTAAAAGCGTCACACACACACACGTACACACACCGACTGCCATTTGCACTCCACGCTTAGAGTGTATATGCCATGCAAAGGTAAAACAAATCAAATGCGCAGCAGTGCATCTTAAGCGGGCAACGGTTGCGGACACCACAGCCGACAGGTCATCAATCAGTTCCAGTTGGCTCTATCGGTAGCAGCTGGTTGCGCATTCTAAGGGACAGTTAAAATGCTGGCTGTTTTGCTGGTCAATCAGTCGAAAGTGCGCGGGAATGTGTTTTGTTAGCGCGTCGCATGGGAAATTGGAGCTTTGTTGCGATGAAGTGGCGACGCGTGCAGCTGCCGGTTTTCACGCCCGCCGCTGGTGGTGTGTCGCATTAGATGTCAACAAATAGCCCGGCAATAACAAAATATACGAAAAAGCTCTGAACTGTTGAAGCAAGAAAAGACTTGTACTTACTTGAAAGTAGGTGAAGACGGTATTAGCTGATTTCGTGCTCAAACGACAAGCCGTTAAGTTTACAATGGGCGCAGTGGGCGAGTTACTTACATATTTACACATGCTGCTTTATAGACGAAAAAAAACAACAACAACAATTGAAGTAACGTAAACGCTCTGATCTTTGTGTTCTGTGGTGTCGAGAAATTGGTCAAGAGGCCAACGAGTAATTGGTATTAAATTTAAGTCCAGTTAAGCTACCACAGCGGCGAAGCATAACAAATGAGAAGCAGAGTTCATGCCAGTAATACCACCAAGGGCGTCACTAATTGGTGGGCAAGTTGCACTGCGCGAATGAGTAAGAAACACTAAGACAAGTTTAAATTTATGGACATAATTGATGCCGAAATAATTTTTATTACAGTTGAATATTTTCTGCGTTGTGGGAAATCAAAGAAATTTCAACTGCAGAAAATACGAGATTTGAGAAACTCCTGCATACAGGACGCTATGAGCAAGCCTTAGAACTACAGTTGGTATGCAGGCCAGTCGAGAGAAAACTCGGGCGCCGGACTGAAAAATCACAGGCATGTGATCAATATCAGAGTTTTCCATGTAGGGTGCCTTTAACGTATAAAAGCCTATAACAAAGGAGTAGGTTCCCGCGAAAATATCGAAAAATATTTGGTTCTATAATTAATAAAATATTTTTTTTTTTTTTATTAAAAAAATCAGCTAAAAAACTTAACAAGTCTGTCATTACTTTGTGATCAATTGGCACTTTTTATGTATACTTTCTGATATTCCCCGGGTGCATCAAGGTCACAGTCAGAAACTGGGTGAATACATGTTTCTCTGGCAATGACTAAAAAGGTTTCGAGAACGTGGACAAAACTTGTTGCCCTCAGACCTAGCAAGCGAAGCTTTTCCGAGCGGCGCGAAGCTTTAAAATTGGTTCAATCGAAGGGATTAGAATCATAAGGGTCTAAGTGATATTTTTTGAAAATATAAGTTATACCCATATTTGTATAGTTAAATATAGTGTTTATTTGGTGACAAAGAGATCCAAGTCATTTCGGACATTGTAGTGCCATCTATTGGCCGGGCAATAATCATTTCAAATGAATTTACCCAAAATTTACAGTTATACAATTATAAAGTAATCAACTTTAACTTTAATTATCTCAAAACAATGTCAGACCTACTTAGATGCTTTTGATTCTAACCCCTTCAATTATAGTCGAGTGTTCATAAAGGAAGATTTTCAGAAACACTTTTACAAGCTTTTATTATATTTCACAAGTGTTTGAACAAATCTTGCAATCAATTTTTACCCAACTTGTTAGAGACTTGAAACTTTTAACTTAGCTTACGAATTAAACCGCTAGGTGACGCGGGTGTCGAGATATTTGAGAAAACCGTATTTATGGACCGATTGTGAGATGTGTATTACCTTTATGAAAAGGAATAACTCCCGATAGATGGCGCAGGAGTCGAGTTATTTGATACTCTTTTTTTTTATATTTAGAACGTACATATACATATTACTAAAATGAAAAATAATAATTCCTTTAAAAAGTTAGCCGTTAGGTGGTGCAGAGCAAATTTTTTGTTACCCACTAATAAAAGCTTGTCTTGAAAAAAATGTGTTTAAATTACTTGTTTTCTATTTTGTTTTTTTTTTTTTGTATGCTTGACACTGTAAATGAAAATTAATTTTTGATAAATCTTTTCACTCTCTTTCCACAAATATTTCAGATACTTTTCGTTGAAGTGAAGTTTTGTGATACCTTAGCGGCTGAGTCATTGCGAACATCTGGACTCCACCCTCGTCCAGTGTGAAACTAATGGTGATTTTGTTTCTATCAAAAAATGTCGTTTTTGATTGGCCCTTCCTCTTTTCGTATTCGGTTCTAAAACAGATGCAAACTATGGGAAAATTTTGTGTTTGTTTCTTAAAATGTCACAATCTTTCATGGTAAAAAAGACACTCTCTTTGCCCTTTAAAGCTTTGTCAGGGCAGATGGTTGCCCTGAAAATCAGACGGTTGCTTAAAACGACAATATTATGAAATGCGTGAACTACACAAGGAATAGAAAGCAAAAACATGCCCTTTAACAGGGTTGAGTGTAGCATCAAATACATTTGCAACGGGAAAGGCAACATTTT